CTTACCAGTAATGTTAATGGTCACCCACAGCTCTTCTGGGAGGATCTAAATCATTGAAGCATCCTCCTTTGTTTCCAGCTGGGAGCTGGGTCCTGTCAGTCCTGTCAGCCACGAGGACCTGATGTAGGCCACCCTTGGCCAAGTGTACATGAGGAGTTTTTAAGTGCCCCAGATAACAGTTTCCTCTAATATAAAATGAGATGACACAACATCCAATGGCAGATCTCCAGGATCTGCAACAAGAGCAGTGTTGCAGAGGTACGCAGTTCGAATCCACTAGATGTTCCACTGGAAAAGGAGGGGCAATCTCCTCCTGTATCAGCCAGATCCGATTTGACGGTATACACACACAAAATAATTAAAAAGTTTTTTTTTAAAAGTTAAGAACAATAGCAGTGCCAAGGGCAATACCAACTACACTCTTGTCACGCAAACATGGCAAGCATGGATATCACTCATTCATTTATTCAACACAGATTTCCTGATTATGTGCTACACGAGAAACACTGTGCTAAATTCTGGAGACAGAATAAAAAAATTACAGGTATAAGGGAGCTCTGTTGGCCCTAGTAACAAGAAGCTGCGCTGCCATCCCAAAGGTATGCAGTTTGAATCCATCAGATGCTCTGCTGGAGAAGAGGCACCATCTCTTCCTGTGCTAGTCAGATCAGACTTGACGGTACACAACAAAGGAAATAAAAACCACCAACCAAACAGTGTGTTGCTGAACAGCCCACTCCGGCTGAGGAAACAGATCAAAGACAAACTAGACTTCAATATACAGAATCTGCCTTTGAAAGGGTGTGAGAAATGTTCCTGAAAATGGCTTATAAAATAATAATAATATACACATAAAATAGCTCAATTAATGGAGACCTAGAAAGACATAATAAACAAAAAATATATTGGGGAATTATTAAAGAAATACTATAAGAAACTTAAGGATTAGATTTAAAGAATCTCTAGATTACAAGAGCTCTGAATAAACAAGTATAAGTGACCTGCATCAAATCACATTATAATAAAATTCTGAATACTGGGAGTAAGGAAAAGATTCCAGAAGTTTCTAGAGGGTGAAAAATAAGGATCAGTGCAAGAAGACAATGTCATCAAAATTCCAAGAGAAAACTTACTTCCAACCTAGAATGCTACATCCAAATCATCAACCAGCCATCACAATGTGGAAGGGAGCTCTGATGATGTAGTCTATAGGGGGCTGCACTGCTAATACACAGAGGGCACCTCTCTGGTGGTTCACCAGCTGCTCTGTGAGAAGATGTGCAGTCTCTTCCTATGTGACTTACAGCCTCCAAAACCCTGTTGGAGGGTTAGCTGTTAGTCAATTCTGACTCCATGCCTGTGAGTTTTAGTTATAGAGGTAGAACAAACACATTTAGAGATACTTAAGAGCATTTGAAATATATCTATCATGTTCCCTTTTTGAGGAAGTTATTGGAAAATGTGCTTCTCCAAAATAAAAACAAAACTCAATCTGTGGTGATTGAGTGGGTCCTAACTGACTTAGAATGATCTCCTGTGCATCAGAGAATGACTGTGCTCTACAGGTTGGGGTTCGCCTCGCCAATTTGGTTTTCTTTTTAGAATTAATTTTATTTACTTAGTTATTCAGAGATAATGAGGATGGCATAGGATAGGACAGGGTTCAGATCTGTCATTCATAGGATTGCTATGAGTCATACATACTCCACTTGATGGCACCTAACAACAACAACAACAACAACAAGATCATCTAGTTATTGTTGAGCATATACACTGCAGGATATATACCAATTTAACCTGTACAATTTAGTGACACTGGTTATAGTCTTCAAACTGTACAACTATTCTCAACTTCCTTTTTTTGAGTGTTTCCTCTCCCATTAACATGAACACAATTTTTGGAGCTGCTTCTGTCAATTTGATCCCATACAGATAGGTCTTAAAAGAGCACAATGCTCAGGGCAGACCTCTTTACTAGTTGTAGAGTTTTCAATGGCTGATTTCTCCAAAGTAGACTAGCAGGCCTTTCTTCCACAGTAGGCTTGAGCGTCCACCCTTCTAGTTTGCAAGTGAGTGAACTAACTGTCCAATCTAGGGATGCCAAAATTTGGAACCCAGGAAAGATAAAGAAAAGGGACTCAGGTTCAATGCAGGACAGGTAAGGAAGGCCCCAGGAGGGAGAAGAAATGTCTAGGATGTGTGAAGGCATAGGGAACAAAGAACTCAGGCTGAAGAAGGGAATCTGAGGTCTTTAGATGAGTTGTCTCTAGTAAAAAGTAGGTTTGCTAGGTTGAGATTTGTGCTTAACTACAGTTGTTGTTGTTTTGTGCCATCGAGTCATTTGCAACTCATAGAGACCCTATGTACAACAGCCCTAAACCCTGCTCTATCCTGTGCCAATCACATTGCCTCTGACACACCCATCCCGATTACCCAAGTCACTGAATCAATCCACCTCATAGAGGGTCTTCCCCTCCTG